CCTCCATAAGCATTAATTTATATTGCTATGCGCTTGTTTGTCGTTGCCATGATTTTCCTGGAAATCTGAACATTTTGACCGGCGTGTTTGTGAATTCCAGTGAAGAAAGCACGGCATTTGTTTCAAAATGCAGAATGCATGAATTATCATAACCAATATAATTGTGGCATTCACTACACTTTGCTGATAATAAAGGTGTCTGCCGTTTCTTTTACCGAAAACATCCACTATCCTCGGATGCCAGAGGATTGTCAGCGTGGCAAGCGAAGACCCTTTCATGAATTGGATTCTGATTGAGGCACTCTTGTGTGACATGCATTGGTGATGGAGAGCAGCAGGACAGGCTTATTTTACATGAAAATGTAACAGCTTATTATGCCATAGTGTTGAAATTGTTGGCTGTATTATGCTTAACAATCTTCATTTGCTCCGTTCTAATTTATATCCCATTTTTCTTCACCGTATGCTGTTATTTGCTGCTTCATTTCCCAAAAGGCATTCATTACAGCTTTCTACTGTAATTTTATCTAACTCAGCCAAAGCCCCATGTGTAAGCTGTCTCATGCATACACATTCTCAGAGGGTGTCACTCTTTACAGGTAAACTCTCTCCTCTCCGCCTGTAAGTCTATGTCACTTTTTTTTTTTCACCCATAATAGAGCATGTCACTCTATTATGCTGTGACCTAGACGACCTGATAACTCAACAGGCAGCAGGGATGTTAGATGGGATGTTAATCAAAGATATGATAACATCTGCACAACCCTAGCAAGATGAGCAGTGAGATAGCACAAAAAAAAAAAAAAATCACAACCCCCACACCCATTTCATTTCACTTGATATTGATCCCACAGGTCTAATCTGCCTAGTCGCTGATGCCCTAACCTGATACAGAGCGAAATGTATATCCTGTGCAGTTACAGAACGCGAGGAAGGCTCCGGGCGCACGGCGGGGGCGCGTGCCAGCTGTTCAATTATCCGACACACTTGCAGATGCACACAGAAAGCGTGAAACAGTCGAGCATAGTGGAGAGGATCAAACAGCTTATCCTCCTCTCGTCCATTTCCCAATTTTCTTCTCTAAATTATGTGATTGAAATCGGTTGCCATGGCAACGGGAGATTTCGGGGCGGGACTGGATCTGCGTTAGATTAGCAGCAGACCGTGTAAGCCTGAAGTGTAGGTGCGCGGTTTGCCGTCCTACAGAGTTAAATGCTAGATTGATGATGTTGACTAATTGAAACTTCGCTGGTTAGTGGATCGGCCTGGCTCTCCACCATCTTATTTTTTAATGTTAATGTGACTTTTTCTAATTGCTTTTCATTTGCAGCCATAATCACAGCTTTGTTAATTACATGAATATTTCAGAGCCAAGCTCATTACAGGGCCCGGCATATTTCCTTCTTTTTCTGGCACGCATTCTGCGACACTTGGTCTCACTCTCTTTCCTTCTCATTTGTGCGCAGACACACACACACACACACACACACAAATCACTTGATTTAGCTAATTATCGTATGACTTATTGACCACTCCTAGTTATATCTTGCATTTTTACAAACGGCCTCTAAGTCTCATATGCTCAAGTACTCCTGGTGCTGCTTGCACACACCCACACTGTGTGCTTTGGGTCGCCTATGACTAAAATAACTTCCATCTATCTAAGCCCAGTTTTCATGCTTGTAGCTAGACCTCGTGTCAGGAAATACAGCGCGCTGGGGTTACCTATAGAGCACCCAGTCACTTTGAATCATACATTCATATTACACTCTATTGCATGGCTGCTTAGCATTTTAATGAAAGGAGCCTTATAGAGTTGTTCATACTGGGAAATCTTATTGGGCCGACATGCTTCATCGTCCCCACTAAGGCTCTCTTTTATCTTTTGTCTCACACTTTTGATCTTTCTCCCCGTGTCTGTCTGTAGGTCTTCCAGCCCTTGTTGTAGCAGTGTCAGTGGGTTTCACCAGAGCGAGAGGTTACGGCACAGCCAGCTAGTGAGTATTGCTTCCAGACCTCCTGACTTTGTCTCAGTCTATGTGAATATCATCACTAAATACCAGCTTCAACCATGCATTTGTGTGGGCTAGAGGCAGAGTACCATTCATTGGCCTCATTGCTGATGATTCAAAACATGGAAGTGTTTTTCCCCCTGAGGTGTTCAAACTAAAGTTTATTTCATAGGCGAGTATTTTTATGTATTTAGTTTATTCAGTCAAAGCAGTCCGTGTGTAGCTGAATGTGTAAACCCCAAACCTATTGTTTTACATCAACACCATCAGTCTTTTCTCCATGTATCGTATCCATGTATCTATTCATACAGTTGCTATAGTATATTTCTTTCTTCTGTGCCACAGGAGGACAGTTGCCTATCCCAGCACGCACTATGTTCAATACGCAGCACATCTTAGCTGCTTATGTAGTGGGCATGGTATAACATTGACAGTCCTGTTCATCGCAGGGACACATTAACCCCCTGAAAATCAGCTCTGATCGGCAGGTTAAATAAAACGTATTTACATATCATGTATGAAAACCTTAATCGTCAAAAACTAATCATCTAATCAGCTTTTGATTTTTGTGGTTCTGTTAATGTTTGATATTATCGCAATTATGCGATCGCAATTATCGCATATCCAGCAACTCCACCACCGAAAAAACAATTAAAGATTTTGATTTTCTAAATTTGCTCATAAATTAAGGAAATTATTCCAGCTTAGGGCCAAACGGCTTGTTTCTGTCATTCAAGTGAGAAACTAATAGTTTTAAGGTCTTCAATATAAAATTAATCTCCTTGCTGTCAAGTGTGAGTGCACCTTTAAGGGATTTCAATAACCACGTCAAACAGGTGAAGCATGATTTGAATGTTCTGTTCAAGAATATGAAGATCCAAGGCAGGCAGGCTGACCTTTAAGCAAAATGTACACAAAAAAGCTTTATTACGTACCCAGTCAATAAAATGCATCTTAAAAAGGTTTACTTCCCCGTATTTTACTCAACATATCATTAATGTGAGGGCTTTGTGGAGGTTTTTTTTTTTTTTTTTTTTTTTTTTGGAGGGGGGGGGGTTCCATCTTAAGCTTTCTCTTTATTGAGCTGTAATTAAGATGACAGAGGGGTTTCCGCGTGCTCTGATGACATTACTGGAGGACACATTTAAACTCATTAAGTCTCACTAGCTTGCAAAAACAAAATTTCCAGTTTGAGGATATGTTTTAGGTAATGTACATAATAAATTTGCTCAGCACTGAGGGCATTATTTACAGAAAGAGGCACTTAACCACACATTGAAAGGCTTTATCCCTCACCAAGGAAATTTGGAGTTAATGTGATACTTAATTGAATGTCTTGTTTTTGTTAAGTACTTGGCACTCGCAGTAAGTGAAATGTGAGACCGGAATCTGGCGACGTGATATTTTACATGCTGTGATTTTTCTGTGTTTACGCACTTTTTAACACCTCTCCTTTTTTCTTTTTTTTTTCCTCTACTTAGTTGCTGGCTATCGTTGGAAGGCGGTTTGCTTTATGCCTTTGTTGGGCCAGCTGCTGTCATTGTATTGGTGAGTGTGTCACTGCTTCAGTTCAGTTCAGTTTTAGTTATATAGCACCAAATCACAAGAATGGTTGCCTGAAGGCACTTTATACTGTAAGATAAACACCTTACAATAATAGAGAAAAAAACAAACAACCAGACGTTCCCCTGTGAGCAAGCAATTAGCGATGGTGGGAAGGAAAAACTCCCTTTTAACAGGAGCAGCAGAACCAGGGTCAGGGAGAGGGGCAGCCATCTGTTGTGAGCAGTTGGAGGTGGGACAAAATCCACACTGGAAGAGATTCAGAGTTTAATAATGGTGTATAAACGGTGGTCTATAAACACATATAGAATTAAAAAGGGTGAATGAAGAAACACTCAGTGCATCATGGGAAGCCAACAGGAGCGTGACTAAGTGAGGATTCAGGTTCCATCCACATGACGGTTCCTTTCCTCTCTGTGGTCACACGGCACAAATATTCTCCAAATATTTTTGCAAAGTTAGCCTCCCAGCTTGGGGCATTAAAGCAAATGCATGTTGACCTCTGAGGGTTTTCCTCTCTCGCGCATGCACATGTAAGCATGCACACCCAGGGTGTACACGACACAATGATGAGCTGAGCGCTTTGATCGCTGAGTCTAAAATGTCAGCCCAGAAAAAAATAAAAACATATTCTAGCTGACAAGAGCTGCCGGCAATGCAGCGCAAGAGTGGACCTCCATCGCAGCTCTAGCCCCGAATCTCTCACTGTTATATGCAGCATTTCAAAGCATAGGGCTCTGTAGCCAATGTTTTAAGTATTAATATGGTCCAGTGGTATTTTCAGATCTAAATATGCAGCTAACTGGTGTTCCACGGAATGTAATAATGTGCGCTTTCTTCATTTTTGCCAGTTGCCATAAAGCAGACGGTTTTATGTTGAAGTAAATATACTTCTGTGTTGTACTACAGCAAAACTGAGTGCACTGATTGTATCTCAGAGGCGTTTTAATCATCTGCTTCTGTGTGCTGCTGTATGTGGCTCAGCTAATTTCTCCTAAATGGATCCCTGGGTAGATATTGCCACCACTAAGCTTAATAAGTCTGGATGGGGCATTAAAGTTTGGTAATTGCTGCCACTGGCGTTGCTGTTGTGTGTGTCCGTTTATAGCTTCTTTTCCTCTGTTGTTTGCACATGTGCCGTACAGTACACGTCAGAAAGGGAACATGGATCAGACAGCACAGGTGTGCAGAGTGATATGCATGATTTTGAAGTAAATCCCTGACAAGCAAACAGCAGTTAGACAGTTTCTGCAAGCTGCAGTTTGAGGCACAAGGGAATACAGGATTATGTGGTGCTGAATATTCATCATTATGTTAATCTAGTGTCTTGCAATGCCACTGTTATTATTCAAAGGTTACATAGTCTGAAACTGAATGAAAAACAGTAATAAATCGCATTACTTTAATTGAAAATATTAAATATTGTTTATACACTTGTATAAAAACTATAAATACTCGCGAAGCTGGTGCTTTATTTAAAAAAATGCAAAATGCATGGCTCTAAAAAAGCGTATTTCAATAAGTTATAAGATGAAGAAGTTAAACATTCAAGTTTCGAAAGTTGGAGCAGTTTCATAAAACCCACCAACTTGCTTCAACTTATTTTTCAGTGGCTAGTATGTCTTGGTGCGTTTCCAGCTTTTCTCCTCCGCAATGTCAAAGTACGCTCCACACCCCAGCTGCTACGTGGTACCTGGCCCCCTGGTGTTGTTGCTGGGGCCGCACTCTAACAAACAGCTGTAATGAGAGCAGGGCGTTGGGCAGAGAAACACAGACCTTCCCACAGGACTCTTCTCTAATTAATGAACCTGGCCTTGGGCAAATAGCTGAGCAGGATGGTGCTGCCTCACCGAGCCCGGGCCAGACATGACTGGCATGACAATAGTGCTGTCACAGTCTGGCACGTTGTAGGTAGTTGTCAGTAGCACACGCGAGACTGGAAGAGATCAGAGAAAGAGATTTTTTTTTAATGAATCGTAAATGCCACATGTACCATACTGATGATCCACCAAATGCTCTGTCTAGTTTGGTGATGTGCAGTACAGGAGCTCCACCGGGGACTGTGCTGTCTCCATTCCTGTTCACCTTGTACACCTCAGACTCAGTACAACTCCAGGTCACGCCACATACGCAAATACTCTTGACAGTTGTAGTGTTTGGATATATTAGCGATGGGTAGGAGGAGACGTACAGAGCACTAGTAGATGTTTTGGTGGAGTGGTGTGGCAGAAGTCATCTGCTTCTGAATCTGAATGAGACCAGAGAGGTGGCGATCGACTCCAGAGGGAGGTGGACCGCTACACAGCTTTGTCTGTGATGGCATAGGCTATTAATGTGGTGGAGGAGTACCCAGTACCTGGGCATCCACAGTGACAACAGACTGAACTGGAAGACCAACACAGAAGTTGTATACTAAAGAAATGGGATGAGCAGGCTCTTTTTCCTGAGGAACCTGAGATCCATCAATGTGTGCAGCAAAACGATGGAGATTTTCCATCACTCAGTTGTGGTGAGCACAGTGTACTTTACTGTGGTCTGCTGGGGGAGCAGCATCGCAGCTGGAGACACCAACAGACTGTCTGAACTGATCAGGAAGGCTCTGTGATTGACTGTATCTTTTTAAACCACTACACACTCTAGAATACAATATATCTGTCATGCAGAGTGTAATCTACCAGATAATGACATATTATTATTATTATTATTATTATTATGATTGTGATTATTATTATATGCAGTGAAAGGAAATATGAGTTTTTCCCATTTCATTTCTAAGAAATTGGATTTGAGCAGAAATTAGGCTTCTGCAAAGGATGTGAAAACCAAATGTTTAACATGGTACGTGTATGTCAGACTCTAACTGTTCAGCCGCTTAGTGGTTGTAATTTTTGGCAGACATGTTTTCAGCATATGGATTTTTTCCTCTTAGCTAGTAGCAGCTCTTGGCATGAGCTGAAGGAGGTATTCAGGCAGACATTCAGTTTAAGAGCTTGGTAAGAATAGGAATGCATTGTAGGAGCTGCGTAGGTACGCATCAGGGTGTGAAAATCACTTGTCACTTACACCGCTCGCTCCTCCAGCAGACTTCCCAAAGAACCTGATAAACGATCAAACAAAGAATAGGCAGAGAAACCCATGGCTGATGGAAGAAAGCGTATGAGTGAATGCTGGCAATCAGGATTATGACGAACATGTCGCTAGCACAGAAAATCTCCCACATGGGCAGGATTTCAAAGTAGAAGGGGTCTACATGTGGCAAGCCTCGGCTCAGAGCCATGTGCGAGTGCGTCTTATTGAATCTGTATCACTGGGTCACCGCTATAACCCAGATGTTTGGCAGGCTTAACAACGGACTCCTCATTAGTAAAAGACACAAGTATGAGAAGCAGTTTTTTAAAGCTTTTTTTGCACATAACCCTGTTTCAGAACTGCCATAATTATAGTTTAAGAAAACTTTTGTCCTGTGCTATGTGGATAGAAGGAGTAGGAAACCAACGAAAGGAATGTCTGTTACCTTCAATTCACCAAATTAAAGCTGAATTTGTTCATGTAACTTAATATGTTGATTGTCTAGATTTTGCTAGTTGAAGCATGACATCATTTGACGTAGGAATTAGTAAGTAATAAAACCTTTAGAAAAAAAAGCCTATTCTTGGCTTTAATAGTATACATAATACTTTGTATAGTTCATAAATAGATGTTTTTATTCAACCGACCCCAAGGCCAAGTCAGCTCACTCTCCCTGGACAGTATTTACTCTTAGGGGAATAATGTTGTATCTTCTAGATATGAGTTTTTGTTTCTTTTACCTTTTTTAAAAGACTAAGAAGTTTGTAGTGCAGTAAAAATAAGTAAAAGTACAAGCTTTTGTTATTTGCCCTTTTGAAACCCATTTCAAGATATGGACAGACATCATTTTTAGTATGATTATTATTATTTGTATTTCTTATGTAGATAAAGCTCATGTGTAGCATTCATTGTTTAGTAAATCCACTTAAATGTTTAATAATAAACATGTTGGGGGGTTTTTATTAAAAGTTCACAAACCACCATCTATTCAAATCGTTATGTATTTAAACTCTTATAGCCGTTACTGCAGTATACATAGCAAAGATATAATATACTGGCATAATATTTAGAATCCCCTTATATCGTTCTCTATATGCCTGTATGTTGTCAACACAAACAATGGCAGCAGGAAACATTGCTATAAATAGCTCTGTAACGTTATTATCACTTATTATTATCAATCTATTGACCTCAAAGGAGAGGTCAGAGGTCAGATGTGACATGATATTTAAAATCTTTATATGGCACTTTCTATCCAAATCATAGTTTTATGGCTTTTTGTCAGTTTTCAATCAATAAATCTTTAAGTTGACCTGGAAGACCTTGGCGATGTAAACCAATTTTTAATGGCTTGTTGATGTGATCCCACTCTACATCCCTACAGAGTTTTATCAAATTTCATTCAAAACCTTTTGAGCTACCGAATGTTTACAGAGTGATGACACACATGCAAATGCTATCAAAATCACAAAGTGGTTAGCAGAGATAATACAGATAAAATATATCATTACTAATGGCTTATAAACATTCATTCATTTTATTGATAATTAAAAATCAACTTGGTCTATGAGGCTTTTACAATGTTGTCTTCAACCTTGTGAAACATTAATAAAAGAAGATACAAAGCCATTTGATCGCCTGTTCTCGACTCTTGTATCACACCAATGTGTCTCTGTCTCTCAGGTGAATATGCTTATTGGAATCGTGGTGTTTAACAAGCTCATGTCTCGAGACGGCATCTCAGACAAGTCTAAAAAGCAGCGTGCTGGGTAAGTTGCCTGCACTTCACACACATACTTACACACAGACACACACACACGTCCATCCACGCACATTTGCTCCATTAGTTACATTTTCCCTGCTGTCAGACAAAGTTAGGAGCACAAAGTATTCATGGCAATTAACTAGAAATGCTTTCGAGGGTCTGAGCACGCACACCTACCTGTACATCTGTGCCTTCAGTAAAAATTATCCAAAAAAAAGGAAAAGAAACAGAAAAAATATGATCCAATTTGGCAACAAAATGACAAGACATCTGCCGTGTTTTGTTGCTCTGTGCAATGCATTTTACTTCGCTTTAACATACGCTACCCATCTAGTTTTGTGTGCTTGAAGTGACATCGCCGAATAAAGTGGATGTGAAAATCAATGGCAGATGGAAATCTAATTACATTCAATAAATACCTGGATTATGTGGATTAAACCTTATATACTATTGAATCCTAACCCACACATACACACAATATACAGGCATATGTCTCTAGCTCCACCGTTTTTTGTATTAAAGTAGTTCGCAGCGCTCATCATCTTTCTCATTCTGAATGGCACTCCCACATCTAAAAATCCATGTTTTAATTTTTACACCTATTGATTCCATCATTTGTTCTCCTTTTTTTTCTTCATGCCATTGCATTTCCTCCAACGTCTATACAGTCGTGCACAAATGGAACTTTTAATTTGTTTGTAGCATCAAGGGTTAACAGTACAGCTCTGCTCTCCAGGGGGTTGATTAGCTTTTGTTACCCGGTGATGCAACCTGAGATTAAACCAGTCGCTGTGTACAAACACACCTACGCGCACACGAAAATACACACGAACAGGTGTATCCTTCTTTGTCGCATGAAAAGTCCTTGGCCTTATCCGAGCAGTAAGCACATTTCGTGCCCCGATTCTCGGAAGTGTGTTCACAGAAATAAAATGCTCACACATACACACAGACACACACACACGCACCACAGTTGGTCGTGTTGCTAACAGGACAAGCTGTCATTAGCGTAATGTATTTCCTTATGAAGCCATGGGGATGTGGCTGGCAACAAGGCAATGAGCTGTGATGGGACGCTAATGTAGCATAGCAACATACTGCCCCATCATTCTCTGCTTGCACGTATATACTCAAATTCAGTATATGTACACGCAAGCGTGCGCACATTCACTCTCTCTTTCTGTCTGAGTGGTCGACTGTAAGTAAGTAAACAACCAAAGGAGTCAGAAAGCTGCACTTCACAGTGATATAAAAAAATGAGATAATATATATATATATATATATATATATATAAATGAAAACACACACATAGATCTGCTTGCACTAGCCGGGGAATATATCTTTGGTACTTGCACCAGTACTTCCTGTCTGCATCACTGTAATCTGTTAATCCACATGATTGCTGTAACATTACAATGTCCGTCTCTCATGTTCTCTCTACTTGCTCTGAATCGATCTTTGTATTCTGACTGTTTTTCATTGCTGCTACTTTTTAAGATCTGGTTTTAATTTTTCCTTTCTTTCTTTTCTCCTTCCCCCTTTCTCCCCTCTCTTTTTTTTCTTTTTATTTCTTCTCTTTGTTGTGTCCACTTTCTCTCTTTATGTTTCTTTTTCTTTACTTTTTCCTCTTGGTTATTTTGCAACTGTGACACCGGCACATTCACCTGTTGTCATAACTGGTACTTGTCCTTCCCACACATCCCATACCCTTACCTACCTCCTGTCCTCTTCACCTGGGTGCGTGCGTGTATGTGTTTATGTATGTATGTCTGTACATGTCCTAAAGTGTCCCAGCGGAGGCGCGTAGCCGACTGCTCCTGAAATGCTCCAAGTGTGGCGTGATCTCAAGCACCGCTATGTCCAACTCGACTGCCAGCAGCGCCATGTTAGTCCATCTTCACCTCTCTATCTCTTTCTCTCCATTACCCTCACTCTCCTACATCTTTTGTAATCTCTGGCTTTCAGTTATGATGCAGGATCTGGCTAAGTAATGAAAGGAAAAACACCTGCTCTACTATCGCTGCAATTTAATGAGATCATGTTTTCATCCAAAGTGGTATTTCCTCTGGTTGCACTAAGCAAATCTGATCCCTGTCAAGCTATGTTTGTGAATCATATTTAGAAGTTTGTTTTAATCATGTTTGTGTTACACAATGTTCAGAAAGGTTGTTAATGAAGCAAACTATTTGGGTAGTGCAATCAGAAACCAACAAAAAAAGTTGATTTAAACAGATGAAGAAGAGTTAAAACAGCTTGTTTAACACAATTTGTGAGCTGAGGGGCTGCACAAAGGCCAAGTAAGATAAATAAGATTATTTACAATCCAAATCTCATTGTAACCAAAATTGTCATTGTAAAACTGATTAAAAAGAAGTACATAGACTGCTACTAATAACAATAATACTAAAAATCAAGGCAATAAAATTTTAAGAAAATCACTTAAAAAAATCTTAAATGTGTTGTTAGATGTGTTTTCTTTGACGGTGTTTTGCTGAGCTTTGCTAAAAAAGATTCATAGCAGTTTCTTTTCAAACACTGGATTGTTTCTTCTGTTCTGAGGATTGTTTTAATGGTTTCATAATCAGGAAGACCTGTAAATCTTCACACACAATCGTTATTTTTCATGTTTTTCAGTTGCCTAGATCCTTGCTAAAGACAAGTCGACTCTATCGTTACATATTGGCTCAGAAAAGAAGTAGAATAGCAAACTTGTATGAATTTCCAAACCATCCAATAGTCAGGGGTGCACATAAGTGGTCCGCAGGTGTGCATTTGCTGTCAAAATAAAAGACGCGCACCAGATAAGAAGTTGCAACGCGCATTTGCGTACATAAGATTTTCTGGAGGAGGACACACATTTGTTTAGAACTCTTAAATGTGTCGAAGAAGCAAGCTCCTTTAAGCAATTACTTTGGTGTTCCTCCACCTCCAAAGAAACGTCAGAAGGAGTCCGAACCTCAAAAGAAGCGCGTATTCTCGGAAAAGTGGTTGCAGGAGGTGAGCTGGCTTCAAACAAATGATGAACGCACAGAGATGTGGTGCGGAATATGCTGTGAAAATTCCACTCTCGTGGATAAAAACAGTGCTTTTTATATGTACGCAAACGCGCGTTGCAACTTCTTATCTGGTGCGCGTCTTTTATTTTGACAGCGAATGTGCACCTGCGGACCACTCATGTGCACCCCTGACTATAGTCATTGTTCCTTATACCTAAGTCTCAGACATATACAAGTCATATTGGACTTCAGGTGGTTTACTTACTTGCTTACTTTGACATTTACCTGACAGATTGTCACTAGCTCGACTGTATTTATTTATTTATAAGTTGTCAAGGCAAAGAACACACACACCCACACAAGATTGATTTATTAGTGATGGGCAAAAGATGCTACTTTAATATGTAAAACGTAGGATCAGCTTTATTAGTCTTATGGAACATTCAATTCATATGAATCATACCTCTTTTTTACTCTCATTATTTTTATTTCTTTTATGTAAACATTTCTTGGAGTTTGTTGCTCTGCTGGATTATGACGTTTGGTTACAACCGCAGTCAGCACCACAGGGAGTTCACAGGAGAAGAGCAGATACATCACTATAATTTATTGTTCTTTATTTGCTTTTGCTCGTTTTGCACATCAACAGGGACGTGTGTATTTTTCCATGTAGACGGAGCTGTCCTTCTTTTTTATTGGACAGTTATAAAACCGTGAATATGTGCTCAGACAGCATGAACATTTTAAATTGGTGTCTATCTTTGTGGTGTTACGGTCAGACACGCACACACATTCTTGTACCTCAGAAACCCGATGTCAGTACTTGTCAGTGACTTGTCTTCCCCCTCCTCGGTGGGCTTCTGCCCATTGTCTTTGCAGTATACCAGCATGGCACTTAGTGTGCATCAACTATGTAATTGTGAGCAACTGCCAGTCCAAAACTATCTACATGATTACACATCATCTTCCATTTATCGGTGGGAATATTAAGTCTGATTCAAATCCCAGTGTGCCAATCAGTTTCAAATTGCCCACTGCTGTGAAACGATGCCTCATCTCCATGTTTACATGAGTGTATGTGTGTGAGAAGTTGAGTTATGTGACTTACCAGATATGACTCATCTGGTTTGGTTTGAGACTGAATCCCTTGTTCATTCCCTCCTTTCCTCCTCCTCTGCCCCGACCTCTGTCTCCTTCTTTCCTCTCTGACAGGGCATCGCTGTGGAGCTCGTGTGTGGTTCTCCCACTGCTAGCATTAACCTGGATGTCAGCGGTCCTGGCCATAACTGACCGGCGCTCCACACTCTTCCAGGTGATGTGTCTCACAACACCAGTGCATGCAAGACACTCATCTGTAGCTTTGAGACACCATGGAAAAGCTGCTTTTAAATGGTGGGAGCCCTCTGAAAGTTCAAGAAACACCTGCTGTGTCACAGATATAGATGAAGTATTTGCACATTTACTGCTGTTTGTTCTTGAATAGTCAAACGATAAAGATGCAGTGTTGGAAATAGTTATCTGATCCCCTGCTGAATTTGTGAGTTTGCTCACTTATGAAGAAATAAACAGTCTCTATTTTTATATCAGTAGAGCGATAGAATATCAACCAGCAATCCAGAAAAAAAACATATCAGATAAAGTTATAAATTTATTTTCATGTGACTGAGTGAAATAAGCGTTTGATCCCCTAAACTTAGTCAGAATTTCGCTTTCACAGATAGGCTGTGTGCAGGTCATATATAATCAATCAGTCAATCAATTATAGATAGTCCTGATCTCAACTTGTTATGTGCATAAAGCACATCTGTCCACTTAATCAGTTTTTTCCATCCCAACCTCTCCACAACCAAAGAGCTATAAAAGGACGTCAGGTCCTCCACAAGGCTGAAATGGGCTAAAAGACCAATGGCAAAAAACACTTGGTGAGAATGTGGCAACTGCTGGTGGAAATATTCAGAAATGTAAGAAATATAAAATAATCATCATTTGTCCTCGGTCTGGAGCTCCGTACAAGATCTTGGCTCATAGGGTGATGATCATGAGATAGGTGGTGGATCAGCCTAAACCTACACGGGAGGAGCGTGTTAATGATCTGAAGGAAGTTTTACCGCAGTCACCAAGAACACTACGGATAACACATTCCCCAATAATGGACTGAAATGTTGCAGGATTACAAGTCTTCCTGCTCATGAAGGCGCATCTTAAGTTTGGAAGAGAAATGTTGAGTATGACCCAAAGAACACTATCCCCACAATCAAGCACAGAGGTGGAAACATTAAACCTTGGGACTGTATTTCTGCTAAGGGTACAGGAAAACCTCACTGCACTGAGAAACCAGTGGACAGGGCCTCATTCCCTAAGCCAGAACACTGAAGGTGAATCATGGATCCTCCCTTAGTTATGCTGCAGTAGGTGTAGGCTGCTGGGGGATTCCCATGATGGACTGAGTATTTCTTCTTCAGTCATCTTTCCTACTCACTATGTGTTAATAGACCTCTCTGCAGTGAATCATACTTGTTATTAATCTCTGGCTTTCTTCCAAAGCATGTATTTTATCCTGCCTTCCTTGTCACACCCCAACCAGTCACGACAGATTGCCGCCCCTCCCTGAGCCTGGTTCTGCTGGAGGTTTCTTCCTGTTAAAAGGGAGTTTTTCCTTCCCATTGTTGCCAACATGCTTGCTCATAGGGGGGTCTCTCTATGTATTATTGTAGGGTCTACCTTACAATATAAAGCGCCTTGAGGTGACTGTTGTTGTTGTGATTTGGTGCTGTATAAATAAAATTGAATTGAATTGGATGGGACTTCCAGCATGACAATGACCCAAAACATGTCTCCACAGCAACAAAAGAGTGGCTAAAGAAAAAACAAGGTAAGGTCATGGAGCCCAGATCTCAGTCCTATCTGTGGAGGAAGCTGATTCTTCCTCCAAACAACCCAAAGCCAGATTTAAAGGGTTTAGAGTTTCTGTAAAGAGGAATGGACCAAAATCCTCCTGAGATGTGCGCAAACCTGGTGACTAACTACAAATAAATGTCTCTGGTCATGGATCAAATACATATTTCACTCAAAGAGATGCAAATGAGTTTCATGTGTTTTTTTTCTGGATGTAAAAGCAATATTCTGTCTCTCTCTTTTAAAATGAAACAAACATAAAAAATAGAGACTTTTTGTTTTTCCCAGTCTACATGTTCGAGTCTCATATCTTGACATATTAGCAAATTTGGGGACAAATAATATCATGTATAAATAAAGAACTGGCCAGTGGAAAAATAGGTCAATATGAAAATAATCTCATTTTACTTAAAAACAAGCAATTCCCACTGTCAAGATCACAAGTAAGCAACACAAACAGTGAGTGAGAGTATTGACTGTGATGATTTATTATGAATAATCATGACTACTGACTCATTTTGTTATTATATGAGGGTTTCTCTAATGATTCATTACAACACAAAATAACAATAGAGTTGGTGCCACAGCACCATGTGGTACACTACAGAGAATTCAAGTGCTTGCATTTATTTCATTCAATGGTTTGTTGAAGTTTAAGCATTTGCACAGTAATATAAAACAACTTAAAATTAAGGGGGATGCCATGGTTTAAAACATTTTAGAACCACTGCAGTATTAAACAAATGTGCGCCAACTAACAGGAGCATCTCATTTCTCTCCTCTAGGTTCTCTTTGCCGTCTTTGACTCTGTTCAAGGCTTTGTTATCATCACCGTCCACTGCGCCATGCGCCGAGAGGTGAGTCCAGTCTCTTCCTCCCCCTCCTCCTGTTGAGCATTTGTTGTGTGGATGCCACGCATTGTTTGAATTTATTCTAACTCTGCAGTACACAGTGAACTCGGAGATAGTCGCTGGCTTTGCTGGGATGCCGGGATTCATTTTCTTAAATGTCACGTTAGCTTCTGGGGTCAGTATGAAGTCACGTCAGAACACAAGCGGATCAGACACGAGAAGGATTAGCACGGTATTCATGTCCTGTGCTGCGGCACTACTTCTTCATAATGCAGTAGGATAGTGCGGCATTGTCCATCTGATCCAAGTCTGCTTTAAGGAGCTTACTATGATGCTGTATGAAATAAGATGATAAGTCCCTAACTAATAGCCCCAAGTGCCTGTTTGCCACAGGCTTTACTGTGTCCCCGGGGATCCCGGATTTTAAACTCATTATGGACATACATGTATTCTTGCCCTTGAGACAGACAATGGCACACATGCCAGTGTGTGTGCACGTATTCAATATGGCATCGCTCACAACTGCTCTGGCTACAATTAATGGATTTTACAATGTCATCAGTTTTCCATAACTGTAAATATGTCATCTGTTTCCGATGCATGTACAGCAGCGCAACCTCTGTCAAAGAGATCATTATGATATTGAACGAAGTGCATAGTGTAAGTGAATTTTTAAATGCTCTGAATGCTTAGCTGCATTAAATCAATATCACAAAAGCGGCAGGGATCAGGGTACCGTAAATCCAGGAATTATTTATTGTAAATGTATGAAAATCCTCTTGCAAGAGTGAGCGTAAATCCTTCGTAGCTGCAGAACAACAGACAGAGGGGAGTGCCGCAACGGAGGAAGTAATAGAGGGAGGGTGGGGGGGATCAGGATGTATTACAGTGCAACGAAAACAGAGAGAAGGTAGCATAAAGTGTGATATTATGTAAACGGCAGAAAGGGGAGCGTCTTGTGATGGAGGAACTAAGTTAAAGTTAGGTGGTGAGGAAGGGAACGCACGCAGAGATCTGTGAGAGGAAACTGTGATTTAGAAGCGAAGCAGGGGATGATAGTAGGGGAGGAGGAAATAGAGAGGAATGTGGAAAGAGAGAGAGAGAGAGGTAGGTATCCATAGTGGGGCATTTCTCTTTGAAGTAGAAATGAGGTGCATTGGGTGCCAGTGCACGCACTCACATACACACAAACACTCGCGCACTAACACAGAACAGGCAACAAAGGCCACTGAGGATGAGTATGGATATAAAAGGAAATAATAAACAAAATGAAACAATGGAGGGGATAAACCAGTCCATGCAGACGTGGATGCAGTCCACTCGCGTACATAGACGAGGAGACCGCCCGATGTGCTGCTACTTCCTCAGCAACTAACCAGGATAGCTGTAATACAGATCGCGATAGGGGGGGGGATTTGTTCTTTGTTACAAGGAGCGGCCCTTTGACAGCGCGCTGGTGTGTGTTTACTTAGATACAGTATGTGGGAGGATAAGGAAAAAACAGCATAGCACAGGAAAGGCCTCGGGTTTAGAACATCTACAGTACATACCGTGCTGTTAATTTTAATTAGTGCTGTGAACAGTAATCACACTAGGCTCAAATTTTTCACTTTCAAAGTATTCTATGGGCTTTCTATACCGCTCCTTTAACTGTTATATAATCTGCGAGCCGAGTTTCCTCATGAACAATGGGACTTTTTGCATAAGTTGGTATTCACCGTACACTTGCCATTGCGGCGATATAGATGAAGCATGTATGTTGTTTAAGGAGCATGGTCCCCACGCTCCAATGTTTGCCAAACTAACTTAAGGAAAAGTTCCTCCACTAACTTCTTTCCTTTGCATCATCTCTTCCTCTCCCTCATCATCCTCCCCGCCCCTCCTTCCCTCTCTGTTTCCACCCTCCCCTCTCCCGCATCCCCCTTCCAACCCCCAGGTGCAGGACGCAGTGCGCTGTCGAATGGGGGGATGTAAAGACGACAGCGAAAACTCACCAGACTCCTGCAAGAATGGACAGGTGCAGATCATGGTGAATAGCACTCCATTTCATCCCACATTGCAGTCCATTTGCCTCAGACTAACATTAACCAGGCTGAAGCTTTTCCCCGCGAGCTCCAATTCCAGCAGAGCGAAGCATGATGCCATTATAGACGTGATCAAACTCGCACCTGGCTTTCTCGTTTTCTCCTTAACCATCTTTACCTTAACAGGGGTTCATGCATTAAGCAGTGTCTTTTTTTTATATGTGACATCATCCCAGAAAAATGAAATTTCACTTGAAGCTTGTCTAGTTTCCAGCCTGAAACTAACTTCTGCTGTTTCACCTACAGTCCCCTGCTGTTATATCATTTCATTGTCATTTGCTGTTAAAACATATTCTCACTCCCGTCTTTTGACATACGAGCACTGAAAAACCCGACAAACTGAATTGGACTAACCTGCGCATTGAAATAAAGCTGTTGTGAAATCGTCCGGTCCTCACCAGGCATCAGTGTGTGACAACTCGGGAGTGGGAGCTTGTTGGTCTATACATCACAGCCTCTAATCATATTTTATCACAACAGACATTTCAGCACTTTTATGTTCTTCTAACTCAAAGTCCTTCATCTTTTGTCTTTTTTCTAAAAGACCGCAGAGCAATAAGCTGTAAGGTTATTGTGTGCGTTCCAGATGTTATTAATAGTGTGATAAATCATAGAGACTTGACCTGCCCCAGCAATGACAGTATAGTAACACCACAACCATGAGAGAATGAGCAGCCCTCATCTCTATTCCCTTTATTTCTCCCTCAGACCTGTTTGCGGTAACGATTATGGGTTTCTGAATGCTCCTCTGAGGTTTTCAAGATTAAACTTTGGAGCCATCGCTCTGCTCAATGAAGCCATCGCGCCACACTCTCACTCTCTGTTTTCCTTTACAGTCAAACTGGAATGTTTAATTTTGGGTTAACTGTATTATCATGGTGTGTGTTGGCTCATCAGTGTGCCAGCGACAGTGCATTAGACAGACAGGTGCTCTTGTTTTTTCTGAACTTTTCTTGTCTAAATACGTGCGACTTTGAGGATGTCTTTTCAGACTGCACATATGCACGGAGAGCGGCTGTGTGAGAGACGCAGCACCCTTGAGAACATTAATTGTGATGGATAATTTGACGAGGTTGCCACCAGTTATAGCTGCATCATAATTACAGTGAACACCATTCTCTCAGGTGCTCTTGGTATATTCACAAATCTCATTAGCATGTTAAACCCTTGACATTTAGAGTCGGTGTAAAGATGTAGAACTGCAGCTACACCCTCTTGTTAAAACGGAATCAAAGCTGTCTCTGGAAATTTATTTGATTAGCCAAATTCTGATTAAAAACCAGCGCTGTTCTTTGCAAAGCTGGTTAGATGTCCTCTTTTAACATTTCAACTTTATGTTTTTCATTAATTCTTTTTTTATATATATATATCATCAGAAATGTGCAAATGTGAGCGCCTGTGGAAAGCAGAGCGGGTCCTTGCGTTACGGCACATCCCCGTGCTTATCAGGTTGCCACGCGCAGCCGCTCCCACCAGCGTGCCACCAGACATCCCAGCAAGGCTGTTACCACAGTCTGATCCACGGCAACCACAGCCACGCATTGAGCCATGTTAATGAGCATACCCCCATCCTCAACAACACCCACAACCATAACCACGCCCATAATCACATCAGCAGCCAACCAGTATGTAACCAAAAAAAAACCATTGTTGGTAGAAATAGTCAAATCCGTAAGTAGAAAAGGTGCAATATGTAAAGCAACATTTATTAATAAATGCTACAGGATTACTTGAGCATTTTGACAGGTTCTTCCTGAGAGATGGATGAGAAAATGTTAACCACTCAACACTCACTGCTTTGGAGCTTTCTGGAGCTTTCTGGAGCTTTCTTTTGGAGCTACTGTAAGCAGTCTCTTAACTTAATGGAAAGATGGGAAATAGAATGAAAACCCTACCATTACTGTGCTCTGAAATAGCAAAATAAGCCCAACCCAAG